GTTGACAAGTCAGCCTGAGAGATTTCTTTCATGTTTGCAGAATTATGTAAATGCACACATATATTTAACAATCATGTAAGCACATTTCAAAATTAATCCACTTTAGCTCTTAACAATAAAACATAAATCTACATGTAAGTGACATGTAGGGCATAAAAATCTACTTTTTTTTCATAATTAGGTATACCCCAAAAGAGTTATCCTTCTGCTGAGCTAGGGTGCAGAGGTGAAGAGTTAAGTGGACATTAAGTTGGAAAAATGCAATGAATGGTAAAAATTATGTAACTAACTAACTTACCTCCATTTTCTCACGCCTTTGGATCTCCACCGGAAATGCAATGAAACCAATTTGCAAACTTAGTTGTCACTTTGCTATGCTTTAATCAAACTTTACCTCTTCATCACAGAGAAATAGGAAGCCACTTTGCTTCTCACCACAAAGGTAAATAGTATTTTAATCACATACAAGCTGGCCAATCAGTATGTGTGAAAAGCACTTAGTCTACTTTTTTGATGTGTAGTAAATTAAACTTGCACTGTACCCTTATACTCTTATTATACTTGAGGAAAATATGAGATGCAGCTTCTCTTTTATGGCCCGAAATATTTTGCACACATTATTGAATATCTTTCAAGAATTCTCTAAATGATAAGTTGCTGATAACAATATGTAGTATGACATTTTGCCCAAGATTCCAAGGTCTTGTCTGGGACCTTTGAGTCTGTATTTGAAAAATGGTGTCTTATGGAACAGTGAGAATTTAAGCTTTAATACTGTCAAGATCTCACATCATTTTAGCCATGAAAATAAATCTCCAAAGAATACAGTATCACCATGCTGGATGAAACTGCTAATGATCCGGGTTGAGAAAATTTTGTTAGTAGCTCTTTCCTTAATTTATATATTTGATGCTCCTAAGAATGTAGATTAGGAGGATCCTTGCTCATATTTTCCAAACTTATTTGATTGATGTCTTTGCATGTGGCTCTCAAACACACTGTGATTAGTTGCCCTTTCTTTGTTAGTGCATTAAACGGTATTTGGCTTTTATCAATATGTACTGCTTTGTGAAACTGTTTTCTTTCATAATGTCGCCGCATAAAATATGGTTTCTGGTTTGCTACTTGTTGGGCAAAACTTTCTGCACAAATGTTGCTGCTACATAGGGAAGGAATGTTTCAAAACTGATGACAAGTCAGCCCGAGAGATTTCTTTCATGTTTGCATATGTAAATGCAGATATATTTTAAGTATCATGTAAGCACATTCTAAAATTAATCTATTTCAACTCTTAATAATGAAACACACATGTTCTTGTAAGTTACATATAAGGCATGCAATTCTCTTTATTATATATACAATCATGTACACCCTAAAAAAAGAGACATCCTTCTGCTGGCCTAGGATGCAGAGGTGAAGAGTAGTGGACATTTACCCACCTGATACTTCCTAATTCATGTTTTTTAATCAGTTTTAAACATTGCATAAAATCATTGCACGTTTCTTAGTTTCCATTAGATAGCTCATTACAGTATTCAAAACTTTGATATTTTACCATAAAAGGTTGGAAAATGCAATGAATTAGAAAATAATGTAACTAACAAACTAACTTACCTTTTGCCTGCATCTATCTCCTAGGAGCAACCTTTCCTGAAATGTAATCAAATCAAACTTAGTTGTCACTTTGCTATGCTTTAATCAAACTTTATTTACCTCTTCACCACAGAGAAATAGGAAGCCACTTTGCTTCTCACCACAGAGGTAAATAGTATTTTAATCACATACAAGCTGGCCAATCAGCATGTGTGAAAAGCACTTAGTCTACTTATTTCACATGTAGTAATTTAAACTTACACTGTGCCCTTAAACTCTTACTTTACTTGAGGAAAATTAGAGATGCAGCTTCTCTTTTATGTCCTGAATAAAATTTGCACTCATTATTGAATATCTTTCAAGAATTCTCTAAATCATAAGTCACTGATAACAATATATAGTACCACATTTCACTCAAGATTCCGATGTCTTGTCTGAGACCTTCAAGTACGTTTTTGAAAAACAGTGTCTTATGGAACAGTGCATAAGAATTTAATCTTTAATACTACCAAGATCTCACATACTTTTGGCCATGTAAATAAATCTCAAAAGAATAACAGTATCACCATGCTGGATGAAACTGCTAGTGGTGCAGGTTGACAAATCTAAACTAAGTGATCTCCCAAAATTTTGTTCACAGCTCCTTCCTTAATTTGTATATTTGATGCTCCTGCCAATTTAGATTAGGAGGACTGCACTCCTCTTTGCTCAAATTTTCCAGACTCGTCCAATTGATCTGTCTTTGCATGTAGCTCTCAAACACACTGTGATTAGTTGCCCTTTCTTTGTTAGTGCATTAAAAAGTGTTTGGCTTTTATCAATATGTACTGCGCCATCAAAAATGTTTTCTTCCAGAATGTCCCACATAAAAACATGCTTTCTGATTTGCTACTTGTTGGGCAAAACTTTCCAAGCAAACTCTGTTGCTGCAAAGAGGAAATATGTTTCAAAATTGTTGACAAGTCAGCCTGAGAGATTTCTTTCATGATTGCATAATTGTCTAAATGCACATATATTTAACAATCATGTAAGCACATTTTAAAATTAATCCACTTTAGCTCTTAACAAGATTCCAAGGTCTTGCCTGAGACCTTCAAGTCTGTTTTTTGAAAAACAACGTCTTATGGAACAGTGAGAATTTAATCTTTAATACTACCAAGATCTCACATTATTTTGGCCATGAAAATAAATCTCAAAAGAATACAGTATCACCATGCTGGATGAAACTGCTAGTGGTGCAGGTTGTAAAAACTAAACTAAGTGATCTCCCGAAATTTTGTTAGCAGCTCTTCCCTTAATTTGTATATTTGATGCTCCTGCCAATTTAGATTAGGAGGACTGCACTCCTCCTTGCTCACATTTTCCAAACTTATTTGATTGAAATAGAAGGCCACTTTGCTTCTTGCCACACAGGTAAATAGTCTTTAAATCACATACAAGCTAACCAATCAGTATGTGTGAAAAGCACTTAGTCTGCTTATTTAACGTGTAGTAAATTAAACTAACACTGTACCCTTAAACTCTTACTATACTTGAGGAAAATATGAGATGCAGCTTCCCTTTTATGGCCCAAAATATTTTTGCACACATTATTCAAATATCTTTCAAGAATTCTCTAAATCATAAGTCACTGATAACAATATGTTTTCTTCCAGAATGTCCCAATAGTTGTCACTTTGCTATGCTTTAATCAAACTTTACCTCTTCATCACAGAGAAATAGAAGGCCACTTTGCTTCTTGCCACACAGGTAAGTAGTCTTTAAATCACATACAAGCTGGCCAATCAGTATGTGTGAAAAGCACTTAGTCTACTAATTTGACGTGTAGTAAATTAAACTTACACTGTACCCTTAAACTCTTACTATACTTAAGGAAAATAAAAGATGCAGCTTCTCTTTTATGGCCTGAAATATTTTTGCACACATTGTTGAATATCTTTCAAGAATTCTCTAAATCATAAGTCACTGATAACAATATGTAGTATGACATTTCTCTCAAGATTCCAAGGTCTTGTCTGAGACCTTCAAGTACGTTTTTGAAAAACAGTGTCTTATGGAACAGTGCATAAGAATTTAATCTTTACTACTGCCAAGACCTCAAATCATTTTGGCCATGTAAATAAATCTTAAAAGAATACAGTATCACCATGCTGGATGACACTGCTAGTGGTGCAGGTTGTAAAAACTAAACTAAGTGATCTCCCAAAATTTTGTTAGCAGCTCTTCCCTTAATTTGTATATTTGATGCTCCTGCCAATGTAGATTAGGAGGACTGCACTCCTCCTTGCTCACATTTTCCAAACTTATTTGATTGACCCGTCTTTACATGTGGCTCTCAAACACACTGTGATTATTTGCCTTTTTTTGTTAGTGCATTAAAAGGTTCTTGGCTTTTATCAATATGTACTGCTTCATCAAAACCGTTTTCTTTCAGAATGTTCCAAATTAAACATGGTTTCTGGCTTGCTACTAGTTATTGTCATTAAACAGCATATGCTGTTGGTTTCGCCATTTGCGAACCATTGACTCGGATATTCCGTACTCGCGTGCAATTTCCCGATTTTATTTCACTGCCTCTGCTTCCGCTACTATTTTCAACTTAAAGTTCAGATTATAAGAATGACGTTGCGCACCAGGCATGATTTTTGTTTTGAACTTAGCAATGCTCGCTGAATCGCCGTGAATGAAGTTTTACAACTAGCAATTCGACCAGCTGAGACATGCTTATAAAGCTTACACTGGATCAATTAGTATACATAGCTTTAGAAAGTAACACTGTTTCCTAAGAAGGCCGACTGTATTCACGGTGTCTCTATCTCTTTTATAAGAGTGATTTTTTTCGCTTTGTTCGCACAAATGTGACTTTTTTTCCGTTTGTTAAAAAAAGGTGACATAACTATAATTAGGAACTTTGAAAACGCTATTGTTTTGAAAGTGAAGATAGTGAAAAGGCTCAAAGTTGAGGTTGCGTCTTATAACCGGGTATTTAGGCGAAATTTTCGGTTTAACAACTTGAAAGAAACGAGTTCAAAAATTCAGGGAGCGTCTTATAACCGAGTGCGCCTTATAACCGAGAAAATACGGTATATTTAACTATCATGGAAGCACATTCTAAAATTAATACACTTCAGCTCTTAACTGTAAAACATACATCTACACGGAAGTGATATATAGCGCATAAAAATCTCATTTTCTTTTATACAATCGTGTATATCCCAAAAAAGAGTTATCCTTCTGCTGGCCTAGGATGCAGAGGTGAAGAGTAGTGGACATTTGCCCACTTGAAACTTCCTAGTTTATGTTTTTTATCGGTTTTAAACATTGCATAAAATCATTAGGTTTCATAGTTTTCCGTTAGATTGCTCATTACAGTATTCAAAACTTTGATATTTTGCCACAAAAGGTTGGAAAATGCAAAGAATGGGAAAATAATGTAACTTACCAATCCATCTAATTGGACCTGAAATGCAATCAAACCAAAATTAGTTGTCACTTTGCTACGCTTTAATCAAACTTTACCTCTTCATCACAGAGAAATAGGAAGCCACTTTGCTTCTCGCCACAGAGGTACATGTAAATAGTATTTTACTCACATACAAGCCAGCCAATCAGTCTGTGAGAAAAGCACCAAGCTGTAGTCTACTTATTTCACGTGTAGTAAATTATACGTAATACGCTGTACCCTTTAACTCTTACTATACTTGAGGGAAAAAAAGGGATGCAGCTTCTCTTTTAAAGAACACATTATTGAATATCTTTCAAGAATTCTCTAAATCATGAGTCATTGATAACAATTTGAAGTGCGATAATTCGCTCAAGATTCCAAGGTCTTGTCTGAGACCTTCAAGTACATTTTTGAAAAACAGTGTCTTATGGAACAGTGCATAAGAATTTAATCTTTAATACTGCCAAGACCTCAAATCATTTTGGCCATGAAAATAAATCTCAAAAGAATACAGTATCACCATGCTGGATGAAACTGCTAGTGGTGCAGGTTGAAAAAACTAAACTAAGTGATCTCCCAAAATTTTGTTAGCAGCTCTTCCCTTAATTTGTATATTTGATGTTCCTGCCAAGTTAGATTAGGAGGTCACTGCACTCCTCCTTGCTCATATTTTCCAAACTTATTTGATTGACCCGTCTTTACATGTGGCTCTCAAACACACTGTGATTATTTGCCTTTTTTTTGTTAGTGCATTAAAAGGTTCTTGGCTTTTATCAATATGTACTGCTTCATCAAAACCGTTTTCTTTCAGAATGTTCCAAATTAAACATGGTTTCTGGTTTGTTACTTGTTTGGCAAAACTTTCTTAGTAAACTCTGTTGCTGCAAAGAGGAGATATGTTTCAAAATTGATGACAAGTCAGCCTGAGAGATTTCTTTCATGTTTGCCTAATTATTTAAATGCACCTATATTTAACAATCCAATCAGTATGTGTGAAAAGCACTAAGTCTACTTTTTTAATGTGTAGTAAATTAAACTCACACTGTACCCTTAAACTCCTACTATACTTGAGGAAAATATGAGATGCAGCTTCTCTTTTATGGCCCGAAATATTTTGCACACATTATTGAATATCTTTCAAGAATTCTCTAAATGATAAGTTGCTGATGACAATATGTAGTATGATATTTTGCCCAAGATTCCAAGGTCTTGTCTGAGACCTTTGAGTCTGTATTTGAAAAATGGTGTCTTATGGAACAGTGAGAATTTAAGCTTTAATACTGTCAAGATCTCACATCATTTTAGCCATGAAAATAAATCTCAAAAGAATACAGTATCACCTTGCTGGATGAAACTGCTAATGGTCCAGGTTGAGAAATCTAAACTAAGTGATCTCCCAAAATTTTGTTAGCAGCTCTTTCCTTAATTTATATATTTGATACTCCTAAAAATTTAGATTTGGAGGGCTGCACTCCTCCTTGCTCATATTTTCCAAACTTATTTGATTGATGTCTTTGCAGAATACCGGTCACTTCTCAAACGTGTCACTTCGCAAACTGTCACTTCGCAAACGTCCTTTGTCACTTCGCAAATGCATCCAAGTCGATTCGCAAACGTCTTCGAATTATTTTTAAAAAGGTTGATATAACTTCATATTATGTTTCTTTACAATCTTTTATCGAAGAAAGTTATAAAATTAAGAAGAAGTAATGTAGTAAGTTTTATCAGCGTGAAAGCTTACTTTTGCCATTTTGGAAGCTCGGCAGGCATCCAACTTCTTGGAATCTTTTCAATAAATCTTATCTAACTCAGTGTCTCGAAGTGTCTCAATGTCTAGCTTGCTTTTTCATTATTTTCTATCCTTCTTATTGATGTCTTATCGTTACTGTGATCTTACATCAGATGATGACTTTCCTTACTCATGTGAATATAGTCATCGGGAGATCGGTATGTTTCGTTCGATGAAACGATTTGTTATCGATCGATCGCGTGTATTTTTCTACATTGCTCGTCGATCAGTCGAGTCACGCAATCAATTCATCATTTATAATGATTAAAAGTAACGTGATTCTCTTCTGTTGATTTTAGTTGATTCATATTACGTTTGCGAATCGACTGGGATGCGTTTGCGAATCGACCGAGGACGTTTGCGAACTGACAGTTTGCGAAGTGACACGTTTGCGAAGTGACCGGATACCTCTTTGCATGTGGCTCTCAAACACACTGTGATTAGTTGCCCTTTCTTCGATAGTGCATTAAAAGGTTCTTGGCCTTTATCAATATGTACTGCTTCAAGAAAAATGTTTTCTTCCAGAATGTCCCTGATCAAAACATGGTTTCTGGCTTGCTACTAGTTATTGTCATTAAACAGCATATGCTGTTGGTTTCGCCATTTGCGAACCATTGACTCGGATATTCCGTACTCGCGTGCAATTTCCCGATTTTATTTCACTGCCTCTGCTTCCGCTACTATTTTCAACTTAAAGTTCAGATTATAAGAATGACGTTGCGCACCAGGCATGATTTTTGTTTTGAACTTAGCAATGCTCGCTGAATCGCCGTGAATGAAGTTTTACAACTAGCAATTCGACCAGCTGAGACATGCTTATAAAGCTTACACTGGATCAATTAGTATACATAGCTTTAGAAAGTAACACTGTTTCCTAAGAAGGCAGACTGTATTCACGGTATCTCTGTCTCTTTTATAAGTGTGATTTTTTTCGCTTTGTTCGCACAAATGTGTGACTTTTTTGCCGTTTGCTAAAAAAAGGTGACATAACTGTAATTAGGAACTTTGAAAACGCTATTGTTTTGAAAGTGAAGATAGTGAAAAGGCTCAAAGTTGAGGTTGCGTCTTATAACCGGGTATTTAGGCGAAATTTTCGGTTTAACAACTTGAAAGTAGCGAGTTCAAAAATTCAGGGTGCGTCTTATAACCGAGTGCGCCTCATAACCGAGAAAATACGGTATATTTAACTATCATGGAAGCACATTCTAAAATTAATCCACTTCAGCTCTTAACTATAAAACATACATCTACACGGAAGTGATATATAGCGCAAAAAAATCTCATTTTCTTTTATACATCAATATATTTAACAATCCAATCAGCATTTGTGAAAAGCACTTAGTCTACTTTTTTGAAGTGTAGTAAATTAAACTTACACTGTACCCTTAAACTCCTACTATACTTGAGGAAAATATGAGATGCAGCTTCTCTTTTATGGCCCGAAATATTTTGCACACATTATTGAATATCTTTCAAGAATTCTCTAAATGATAAGTCGCTGATAACAATATGTAGTATGACATTTTGCCCAAGATTCTAAGGTCTTGTCTGGGACCTTTGAGTCTGTATTTGAAAAATGGTGTCTTATGGAACAGTGAGAATTTAAGCTTTAATACTGCCAAGATCTCACATCATTTTAGCCATGAAAATAAATCTCAAAAGAATACAGTATCACCTTGCTGGATGAAAATGCTAATGGTCCAGGTTGAGAAATCTTAACTAAGTGATCTCCCAAAATTTTGTTAGCAGCTCTTTCCTTAATTTATATATTTTGATGCTCCTAAAAATGTAGATTAGGAGGACTGCACTCCTCCTTGCTCATATTTTCCAAACTTATTTGATCGATGTCCTTGCATGTGGCTCTCAAACACACTGTGATTAGTTTCCCTTTCTTTGTTAGTGCATTAAAAGGTACTTGGCTTTTATCAATATGTACTGCTTTGTGAAAATGTTTTCTTTCAGAATGTCGCCGCATAAAATATGGTTTCTGGTTTGCTACTTGTTAGGCAAAACGTTCTGCACAAATGTTGCTGCTACATAGGGAAAATATGTTTCAAAACTGACAACAAGTCAGCCTGAGAGATTTATTTTAATGTTTGCATATGTAAATGCAGATATATTTTAAGTATCATGTAAGCACATTCTAAAATTAATCTACTTCAACTCTTGATAATGAAACACACATCTTCTTGTAAGTTACATATAAGGCATAAAAATCTCTTTTTTTATATACAATCATGTACACCCCAAAAAAGAGATATCCTTCTGCTGGCCTTTACCCACTTGATACTTCCTAATTCATATTTTTTAATCAGTTTTAAACATTGCATAAAATCATTGCACATTTCTTAGTTTCCATTAGATAGCTCATTACAGTATTCAAAACTTTGATACTTTACCATAAAAGGTTGGATGATGCAATGAATTAGAAAATAATGTAACTAACAAACTAACTTACCATCTCGCTCTCTGTTGAGTACCACAGTGGCTGAAATGCAATAAAACCAAACTTAGTTGTCACTTTGCTATGCTTTAATCAAACTTTGTTTACCTCTTCACCACAGAGAAATAGGAAGCCATTTTGCTTCTCACCACACAGGTAAATAGTATTTTAATCACATACAAGCTAGCCAATCAGCATGTGTGAAAAGCACTTAGTCTACTTATTTCACGTGTAGTAAATTAAACTTACACTGTGCCCTTAAACTCTTACTATACTTGAGGAAAATTAGAGATGCAGCTTCTCTTTTATGTCCTGAATAAAATTTGCACTCATTATTGAATATCTTTCAAGAATTCTCTAAAGCATAAGTCACTGATAACAATAATTACAGTACCGTTCGAAGATAAGCGAACCACCTAACGCGTTGTCAACGCGTGGGCTCGAAGAAGTCAACGCGTTAGTGCTCTTTCGCTAACGCGTTAGCTAACGCGTTGATCATCGACCCGTATCACCTTTGTTATTCACTTTGCCACCTCCAACCTTCTTTCTTTTGTATCCATTGTTGACCAACTCAAAGGACGGCCTTCATCCGCAACTGAAAACCTTTTTGAATTTGCATAATTTTACTTGTCGGTCAAGGTTTACGTTCTGTTGCTTTTCGCCGGTTTTGAACAAAATGTATTCTGCGACAGATATCTGAAAAAAAAATTAAGGCAAGCTTTCGAAAACTACAGAGCAACTCTTAACAAAAGAACCCAGTCGAACTGATGCGCTCTCTGCTTCTTGAGTCGAGAATCGAAAACGCTCATCGCCAGAATGTCTGGGCCACGCGAGTCGATTCTTTCTGCAACCAAAATTTCAATCACGATTTCGTCAAGGGAAACATCAGGCGGTTTTCAACAATCCGCGTTAATCAAGTCAAACAATCTCCAGTAGCCCAAGCCAAGGCAAAAGGTTTCATTATTTAAAGCCTATCGATCGAAATTCGAGTCACGAGTTTTATTCGTGAACTGCTAGCGAAAAAAACATACTTATAGTTTGTCACGCTTTTGTTTACGTTCTGCCGCTTTTCGCCCGGCTTTCAGCCGACTGTATTGTGTGTGTGAGAACATAAATTTATTGTTACTTGCTCCTTACTTAAAATACATGCATGGTTTTTCGCGATACTCAAATGTTGGCGATGTAACTAACACAGGATCAATCGAATAGGATAAATTTGGATCCGAGAATTCGAAGTTGTTCGCAAACTTAATACGGCTAGAATTTCATTTATTTGGTAGCACAAGCGCCGCGACTTGTGATGAATTTCGAGACATGCGGCACGTAAACATAAAATCGATCGACCAAAAACGAAAAAAAACAGTTTGGGATACAGGTGAACGAGAACTTCGAAAGTATTCACAAATTAAAGGTTGTAAAATGAAATCGCTTGACTCTTAGTTCGGTTTTTTTTTTAATTTTTTTTTTTTATCAGGAACAGATCTTTGGATAACGCTTGTTATTGGGAATACACAGACGCCGTGGAGATGCTAAGGCGAATGTGACAAAAAAAGTCGGCTTTGTTTGGGCCTCTTGTTATGAAAAATGGTTTTAAAGTGTGATCTACTAATGAGCTTCACTAAACGCGTTTGCGTTTGCGTGGACACGCAAACGCAAACGCGTTAAGTTCAAAACGCCAACGCGTTGGCTCTGCGTGGGGAACGCGTTGAGTGGTTCGCTTATCTTCGAACGGTACTGTATGTAGTACCACATTTCACTCAAGATTCCAAGGTCTTGTCTGAGACCTTCAAGTACGTTTTTGAAAAACAGTGTCTTATGGAACAGTGCATAAGAATTTAATCTTTAATACTACCAAGATCTCACATCATTTTGGCCATGTAAATAAATCTCCAAAGAATACAGTATCACCATGCTGGATGAAACTGCTAGTGGCACAGGTTGAAAAAACTAAACTAAGTGATCTCCCAAATTGTTTGCAGCTCCTTCCTTAATTTGTATATTTGATGCTCCTGCTAATTTAAATTAGAAGGACTGCACTCCTCCTTGCTCAGATTTTCCAAACTCATCCAATCTGTCTTTGCATGTAGCTCTCAAACACACTGTGATTAGTTGCCCTTTCTTTGTTAGTGCATTAAAAAGTATTTGGCTTTTATCAATATGTACTGCTTCATCAAAAATGTTTTCTTTCAGAATGTCCCACATAAAAACATGCTTTTTGATTTGCTACTTGTTGGGCAAAACTTTCCGAGCAAACTCTGTTGCGGCAAAGAGGAAATATGTTTCAAAATTGTTGACAAGTCAGCCTGAGAGATTTCTTTCATATTTGCATAATTATGTAAATGCACATATATTTAACAATCATGTAAGCACATTCTACAATTAATCCACTTTAGCTCTTAACAATAAAACATAATTATATATTTAAGTGACATATAGGGCATAAAAATCTACTTTTTTTTCATAATCAGGTATACCCCAAAAGAGTTATCCTTCTGCTGGGCTAGGATGCAGAGGTAAAGAGTTAAGTGGACATAAAGTTGGAAAAATGCAATGAATGGTAAAATTATGTAACTAACTTACCAAAATGTAAACTTTAATACTGTCAAGATCTCATATCATTTTAGCCATGAAAATAAATCTCAAAAGAATACAGTATCACCTTGCTGGATGAAACTGCTAATGGTCCGGGTTGAGAAATCTAAACTAAGTGATCTCCCAAAATTTTGTTAGCAGCTCTTTCCTTAATTTATATATTTGATGCTCCTAAAAATTTAGATTTGGAGGGCTGCACTCCTCCTTGCTCATATTTTCCAAACTTATTTGATTGATGTCTTTGCATGTGGCTCTCAAACACACTGTGATTAGTTGCCCTTTCTTTGTTAGTGCATTAAAAGGTACTTGGCTTTTATCAATATGTACTGCTTCAAGAAAAATGTTTTCTTCCAGAATGTCCCTGATCAAAACATGGTTTCTGGCTTGCTACTAGTTATTGTCATTAAACAGCATATGCTGTTGGTTTCGCCATTTGCGAACCATTGACTCGGATATTCCGTACTCGCGTGCAATTTGAAAACGCTATTGTTTTGAAAGTGAAGATAGTGAAAAGGCTCAAAGTTGAGGTTGCGTCTTATAACCGGGTATTTAGGCGAAATTTTCGGTTTAACAACTTGAAAGAAACGAGTTAAAAAATTCAAGGAGCGTCTTATAACCGAGTGCGCCTTATAACCGAGAAAATACGGTATATTTAACTATCATGGAAGCACATTCTAAAATTAATCCACCTAAGCTCTTAACTGTAAAACATACATGTACACGGAAGTGATATATAGCGCATAAAAATCTCATTTTCTTTTATACAATCATGTATATCCCAAAAAAGAGTTATCCTTCTGCTGGCCAAGGATGCAGAGGTGAAGAGTAGTGGACATTTGCCCACTTGATACTTCCTAGTTTATGTTTTTTTATCGGTTTTAACATTGCATAAAATCATTGGGTTTCATAGTTTTCCGTTAGATTGCTCATTACAGTATTCAAAACTTTGATATTTTGCCACAAAAGGTTGGAAAATGCAAAGAATAGGAAAATAATGTAACTTACCACTCTACTGAAAAGGCCATTGACCTGAAATGTAATCAAACCAAACTTAGTTGTCACTTTGCTACGCTTTAATCAAACTTTACCTCTTCATCACAGAGAAATAGGAAGCCACTTTGCTTCTCGCCACACAGGTAAATAGTATTTTGCTCACATTCAAAGCCAGCCAATCAGTATGTGAGAAAAGCACCAAGCTACAGTCTACTTATTTCACGTGTTGTAAATTATACCTAATACGCTGTACCCTTTAACTCTTACTATACTTGAGGGGAAAAAAAGGATGCAGCTTCTCTTTTAAAGAACACATTATTGAATATCTTTCAAGAATTCTCTAAATCATGAGTCATTGATAACAATTTGAAGTGCGATATTTCGCTCAAGATTCCAAGGTCTTGCCTGAGACCTTCGAGTCCGTTTTCGAAAACGGTGTCTTATAGAATAGTAAGAATTTTAGCTTTAATACTGCCAAGACCTCACATCGTTTACTCTATGAAAATGAATCTCAAAAGAATACAGTAGCACAACGCTAGAGAAACAGCTAGTGGCGCTGGTCGAGAAATCTAACTGAGTGATATCCCAAAATTTCAAAATTTTGTTACCCTTATGTCGCGTAATGGAACAGTCAGTCGAGGAAATTTAGAAGGGCTGCACTCCTCCTCGCTCATATTTTCCAAACTCATCCGATGGGTTTATCTTTTCATGTGACTCTCAAACACATCCCTTTAACACTATGATTAGCTGCCCTTTCTTGACTCTGTGGTTCACCGATCGGTTCAGTCGAAGTTTGCAAACTAAAACCTTTCTCACATTGATGTTTCAGCCGCCGTCGAATCCTTGCTTCGGCAAGCACTTTTCATTTTCATCCGGGAGTTACTACATCACGGGCGACGAGCGGGGATAGAAAAAACGACCCAAATATGAGCGGTCAGCGGTGAAACAGCTTTTATCATTCATATAGAGACATATAATTTGTTGTTCCAGAGACAATCGTGTTGTAAAGCCGTAATGTTAACAGTTTACTTCACAGTTTAAGCAATTTTTCAAAAGTGTTGATTGAACTCGTATCTTTTACTGCTTTAATAAACAATGGAGGCTTCGGAGAGGGAGTCAGTGGCATTCGGAAAGGCACCAAAAATAATTATATATATGGTTTGTAGCTAGCTGCGTGACGTGCGTGACGAAAAAAAAGTATCATGATTTCCGGTTGATCCATCCAGAGGTTGCGAAAAGAAATATAAACTTTAACAGTGCAATAGCGGGATTTCAGCCTGGTTGGCTCGTGGACAAGGTGCTTTTATTTTATTAACATAGAGTGTCTTCTCCATACAACTTTCCTCCATGAAATGCTCTCCTTTTTCATTTTTTCAAAGGTTATCGAAGCAGTTCTGTGGCGCCTGACCTTAATCCACCGAGATATTTTTGTGGCACACACAACTATGGCTGAAATGGTAAAGCGACATTCCAGCACTCGCTTGCTTTGGTCAGGAGAGAACTTTACCCAGATTTCTAAAATATTTATACCCATGAACAAGTCTGGAAATCACTGGACACTTCTGGTTAGGACCTTACGATAATAATCTTTTTGAATAACGCACTTAAATCAAGAACCTTTTAACTGGACTTTGCATCATAAATAAATCTTTAAGCGCTCTCTTGCTTATGTTTTAAAGGTTCTGGGTCGAAAGCAGAAAACCAGATATTATTTCGATCCCATGAATGGGCGTGTACACACCATTTTGAGCACCTCAGTTCCTAAGAGCTAACTGATAGAACTGATCGATGACATCAGGTGAAATATTTTCAACTCAATGTTTTCCTTTTTATTTTGATGCATGCAGAAAAAACATACTTATGTAATTGCTGTATTTTGTTTGACTCTGCAGTGCCGTTGCCGATCTCAAAACGGGATGGAATTGCAAGTCATGGCTATGTGTTGAACCACTACATTACACACAGACCGATAGCTATAACTGTGGTGTGATTGTATGTCTTGTGAGTAGCATAATCACTTGCTAAAGCTCACTTTAATAGGACTGCTTCCTGGTTTCGAATGTATTAAATTTCTCTTTGTTTGTTTTAAGTTTGCTCGGTGTTTGTGTGAGGGGTTGGATATCAATGGAAGTTATGATGTGGACATGGAAAGGGAAAGAATAACGTCTGTCATATTTGGCTCGTGTTATGATGACCTTGATTGGTAAGTTTTGATGGTGTCAAATACCATTGTTTCTTAAACGTCGCAACACTCTCTTTGACGTCCCATATCTTTTGTTCAATTATAGGAGAAATACCGCGGTCTGTAAGATTTGCAAAGACGACGATGGAGAGGATTGGCTTGGGTGCGATAGCTGTGGCCAGTTTTTCCATGCAAGTTGTCTGGATGTGCCTTTCGCGGAGACGCTTACGCAACATTTCACCTGCCCTTAGGGTGGCTGCTACAAGTAGAGTTTAAATTTTAAAGCTGACTATAACAATGAACCAGATGATGAACTTAATGTCATGTACAGATCTTAATTTGTAAGATAAGAAATACAGTCCTTGGTAGTAGATAGATTTTCACGAGCGTCAATGGTGCAGAATCGTAACTTGATGGAGCCAACAGTGGACAACATCCCAGAATTCAAACTTTGTGATTTTTTTCTCGGCTTAAACGCTAAGTCAGTTCTTCAATTGAATAGGAAGAAAAACATTTCGAACGGAAAACAGAATTATTTGCACGTGTGGATCTTTTGAGAAAAGGTCTCCTAAACGAGTGGTCTTGATTATAAATATTTAAGGAATGGTAAATACATTAGCCTTAACATGGCTGTTTCTCGAAGCTCAGTGTTTTCCTACTTGCCTTTTTTCCACGTGAATTGGGGGCGATTGAATAGATATAATATGCAGTAAAAGAACTTCAGCTGATAGAAATTTTAAATTTCTCATCTTAGGCTGTGGATACAAAATTCAAGTGAAAAGGAAGTCAACTGTGATTAATGCTTTGAACAAGTCAAGATACCTTTTTTTCGTCACACAACAAGTTACATAACGTTAATATCATTCTTCTCGGATGCCTTTCCCGGTGTCACCAATGCCTTTCCCGATGCTTCCATTGGTTAATAGAGCATTAAAAGTATTGTTCCAGTTAAAGCTTGAGGAAAATTGCTTAACTTTTTAAGTAGCGAAGTGTAACTTGGTAACATTTCGGCTTTACAACACGATTGTTTTCTGCAACTACAAAACGTACATTTAATTCTTCTTGGTACCTTTCGGATGCCACCGATGCCTTCATTGTTTATTAAAGCAGTAAAAGATATATGTACAATCAACACTTTTGAATTGCTTAACATTTTATTTAGCGGAGTAAAAATGGTTACACTTCGGCTTTACAACACGATTGTTTCCTGATACTACAAATGATCTGTCTATATATGAGGTATTAAAGTTGTTTTACCGCTGACCACTCGTATTTGGGTCGTTTTTTCTATCCCCGCTCGTCGCCCGTGATGTAGTAACTCCCTTTTCATCCTCATCCAGTCTCGATCCCAGGCAAGTTAGGCTCCAAGCTCCCAAAAGTTCCACTGAGCCAAAAACCTAGTAAACGCTTGTGAACGCTAGAACAGAATGGACTGGACTGGACTGGACTACATCATTGTTCTAAAAAGCGGCGGTAAAAGAAGAAGAAAACGTGAAGCCATTGACAAAATGAATGAGATTAATTGGTCTCAACATATCTCAATTATTCTAAATCGACTGCTTACGAAGAGTGATTGAAAACTGCAAATATTAAAAGTTTAGAACATCGACGCATAGAACAAGCACTTATACTTGTATATCAAAGTATTCATAACCAGACACCGAACTACATTCAGGAAATGTTTTCTCTGCGAAGTAATGGTTACAGCCTACGTGGCCATCTTAAGGTTGTTCTTCCAAGACCAACCTCATCTTATATGCAACATTCTTTTACGTACCAGGCTAGCAAACAATGGAACAATCTGACAGACAAAATAAGGATGTCGGAATCCCTTTCTATATTTAGGAAAAGTTTGCAAGACATACAGTTGTCCTCATCGTATGACTGCAGCTGTTTGTTTTGTAAACAAATCGTCTAGTCACCGATATTCCCTTTTATTAAATTATTGATTACTTTAATAGCAATTATTCATTCTAGATAATTAATTTTTATTTCTTACCTATTACTTATTACTTATACATGTAAATTATGTCAATTTTTTATGGCACATTTGCATTTAAACGAGCTATTCGCTCATATGCGATATGTGGTTAAATAAAGTTACTTACTTACTTATATATTCAAAATATTTTATGTGCTAAGACAAGAAAATAAACAAATGAATACACAAACAAACACAAGAATCCCAGGGAAACAAACTGTAAAAAATACGATATGCTTTGACGTTCTTTGCTGTTCTACGTCAGTCCTGCAGTGGACTGTACTAAGAACATTTCCTCGCAAGGGATGCATGTAAGTAGCTCGCCTTCGAAACAACAAACATAAAATCAGTAGCATGTAACCTAAAATATGTTATAAGCTTCTTCTCAGAGTAACGGTTCTCAGTAAACAGCATTTCTGCCATTTTATTGGCCATTATAACTTCTCATTTTGCTGAAATTTTTGGCTTAATCATCCACAGAAACTTTACAAAAGATCTAACTCAAGTGAACAACTTATAGCCTTAGAACAGGTCTCCTGCTTACAGAGTGGAACGAGTCGCGAAAGATTGGTTCCCAGCCCCAACTCTCTCGGCATTCGCTTCGTTGAACGGCAGACCAATCGTTTAGTTTCGAATCTTGATGAAATCACTTTCAGAAATACAACCGAAGATCAGCTTTGTTAAGATTAAAACTCATGTTAATGGAACAGACGATGCCAAAGGTTATCAAAGAGCGTTTGATTATAATTCACTTCGCTGAACGGCAGACCAGTTGTCAATTTTCGAATGTTGAAAAAATCGCTTTCAGAAATGCAACCGAAGATCAGCTTTGTAAAGATTAAAACTCGTGTTAGTAGAACCGACGATGCGAAAGGCTTATTAATGGCCTATCGAAGGGCATTTAATTATAAGTGGTTTCATGCCTTAAGAATTGCAAATCAAATCAGTCATTTTAATTAAAGGTCCACTTATACTTAGTGATCGACCTAACTATTAACCGACTTAATCGTTCAGAAAAGTTTACAACAATGGCTTCTTAACTGAACTGATTTGTGTAATATCAACTGAGATCGGTTACTAAAGGTCAATTCCTGGGTGGCGTAATTAAAATTGCTTTTGTCAGTTACTAATCATATCAGTCTCCTGCATAAAACGCCGTTGTCCCAGCGGATTTAGACCCCCTGGTCCAAATCCGCTAGCGGATATGATGAAGAACTGAGGCATGCCGTATCGTCCATAAAAAATAATTTTAGGGGCAAGTTTGAGGATCAAGGAGAACAAGATTTGTACTCATGCCTCCAATCCAATTATTCGCTGAGCAGGGTCTTGTATCGGAGGACAATCTGACTTTGATGGAAGGGTTTCTGAGCCTGAAAGCGTCCAAGAAAAAGTCGTTATAAGAAAAAAATTCAACAATTTAAAGAAAACCGCCAACAAGAGGCCAGTCCTGGAAAGGGAGAATCAGGTGTGACCGGCAGGGAACGTGACCTAGAGAAAGTTATGGCAATGTTGATAACGGAAAATTCACGTGTTGTCAATTTGCATGGAATTAGAGGAGTAGGCAAGAAGAAATTGGCACTAGAAATTGTTTCAAAATGGCCAGGGAGGAAATTCAAGGCCGATTTTAGAGAAATCACAGAGATAGAAGACGTTCATTTTCACGTTCAAAACGCTATAGCACCCGACAAAAACGAAAATAAGCTTACAAGCAAATCCAGTAGTTGAATTTATGCAACAGTTGAGGCAAGAAGAGCAACAAAGTGACATATTGCTGCTCCTTGATAACGTCGATAAATTTGCAGGAGGAGATGATGTAGCATTCACCTCCCTTAATGCCAATTTTGTGACGTTTCTGCAAGGACTTCTAGGTCCAAAGATTTTGAAGATTTTGTTGACATCAAGATCAACACTTCGTCGCGCAAAGTTAGCCAACATTGACAATTACGAAGTTATGGCCTTAGAGGAAGCTTCATCAAGTGTTCTTTTCCAAAATCAGAGAGTTGGCAGCGTTTGAGAGGATGAAATGGAGAAACTGCTGCAGATGTGAAAAGGGAATCCCCTCATCATTAAGGGAATGGCAGCTGTCTTGAGGCAACAAATGGCCGATGACACCAGGATTCTGGAAACGATTAACCAGCCACTATCAGCCGAGCCACCAGAGTCGGAAATACCAGCAGCAGAGGAGAGTCGAGAGAGAGACGTATTTGACTCTGAAAAGGAAAGCATTGATAAAGAGCAAGAAAGCTGTTCAAGAAAAATGTTTTCTTCTTGCCGAGTAAACAGTTAAAAGATTCTGCCATTACGATGTCACTGTTCTGCCGCTCTTTCTGTGTCGAAGCAGCAGCCGAAGTCCTTGGAGTGGACTCGTCAGAAGCTGTCATACAACAAGAAGGTCTCAGGAATAGTGAAGTGCTAACGGTAGACCCTGATGTGAAAGAACTCACCTATGACATCCACCCTCTGGTGCGAACATTTCTGAGAAACATTGGTAGTAACCAAAAGATGTTCGTCATAGTTAACGAGAAGGCAAAAGGCAGGTTTTATACATTCTTCATGTCCAAAATGGTAGACTTTTCAAGGCTTTTTGACAAAGACTACATGAATGCCTTCGATAATTTTGATCTTGACAAACCAAACTTTGAACTTGCTTTGGGTATTTCTTTCAAGTCAGACCATCTTCTTATCCCAAAAGAGCATCGTGAAAGTGTTAATCTTTTATCTCTTCGAGGCCATGCTTGACGAAAAAGTGAGAAAGAACATTTTTAATTGCTTGGCTGATAAGGCCGAGGATGATGGAAAGGAACGGGTAAAGTTTTATTACTTACCAGAAAAAAGTCTCAGTTTACGTAGGAAGTTTTTCTGGATACTTCGGTAGTGTAAGTAAGCTGTCGACGTTATGGGAAAACTAACAGATAAAACTGACTAAACTCGACTGACAACAACAATTTACTTGACTCTGGTGATGACCTAAGCTCAGGTTGTCGAAACTTCAGTCACCACTGCCGACAACAGTCCTTCTCAGGACTTCACCCACCCGGACGATTAGACCACACGATCAAAGCACCTCAGTGTAATGTGACCTTCTCGGTAAGGAGGTTATAGCCTTCTTATTTTGTTCTAATCTGTTTAAACTCCCAAAGAATCTTTCACGATGAAGGTATGACAAAGCTCTTTAATCTATCAATGGATGACATTAACTTGAACGGGTTTTTAGTTTTTTTCGTCTTGTCACGAGCGTGGGACAAAGAAAGAATTTTGACGGTTCCAATGAGGAATTGGACCTCAGACCTTCGGATTCCGCGCTCCAATACTCTACCATTAAGCCACAGAGACTCTCCTGTGAGCGTGGTCTATTTCGAAGTTCTTATGCGTTTTAGTTTAGTATGTATGATTGTACGATTTTTAACCGAGCAACCTCGCGAAATCTACCTAGCCAGTCTCCTTGCGGAACAAAGGTATCATTGACTTGCCAAAGGCGTTGTCCTTACATTGCCCAAGCATGCTACATTATTCTTGGAGGCTCAACATATTTTACGCTACTTAGATTTGGATTAATAGCGATTCTCTGAACTTTTTCCCGTTTTAATACTCACTCAGGAAGCCAAACAGAGCGGAACTTTGATGGGAACTGTGAAAGGATTCCTTTCTTTAAGAGCAAAAGGTAATTGATAAGGGAATACTTTTGACCATAAGTCGCGCATATATTAGATAACGAAAGACACACGCGTTCTCTCGGAAACAATGGTTAAAAACGCTTGCATCAGTTATGCTTATCAAAAAACGTGGTAAAACAGGGTTTTTTTAAATAAAAATACTTGCAGACGTTTTTTTTTTTTAATAAGAATACTTGCAGGCTTTTTTTTTTTTTAATAAGGATACTTGCAGGCGTTTTTAACTAATATGTCCGAGAGAACGTAAGTGTCTTTCGTTATTTTTGAGCACGGTTGATGTTTTGTAAGGTTCGTCATTCCACGGGGCGTGGGCGAACAATGATTTACTGTTATTTGTTATTTAAATGTAGTATTTGCTTTTCACTGGTGAAATCTTTTTCAAAAAGAAGACAATGTTATTTTAGAAACTGAACAGGTGTCTAGTGAGGACGATGACGATGATGATGAAGTGACATTCCTTCCGATGATGATAATGATGATGATGATGATCTG